ATGCAGGTTGTCTGCACCTGGAGCCGAATACTTACGTTGACTCAGAAGCTTTGATTTCACTCTGTCGGCATCAAACGTGAGGGAAGTCAGTGGTGGATTTGGAAGAGAGAGTACTCGACGAGGCAACCGCAGTCTCGCGTTGTGTCAAAGACTTGGGCGTATTGGTTTTTCAGCATCCCAGCTGCTTCCTGAGTATTGCTGGCGACCTTCCCAAGAGAGCTGAGTGAGGGTATCCCGTACTTTACCTTCCTCGACATATTGACATGTTTGTATAGTAGTGATGGGTTGGAAATGAACTTCCGTGAGAGCACTTCTTGGTACCTCAGCTTATCTTCGCGCACCAAATGGGTACAATGGTTTCGCAGTTGTCGATATTTATTCCAGATGCTGTCAGTTGGAAATCGATTGTATTCTCGCCAAGATCGATTGCGCAGAGACATCCACATCTTAGTGCAGTTACGAATCGGCCAGTTTTGGACCCCTGATTTTCTAACAACCTTAGTAACTGAGGCGATCAGGTTTGTAAGTCTGTGTGTAAATGCATGCCAGGTGACCACTGGGTCACCTACGTCCCCAGGAAAGATCCACTGAGTGCAGTGAGTCAAATTCTGCAATCTAGTATAGTCTGTGGCGAGACGTGTATTGTTGTGCGGACTTCTTTCTATCGAAGCGTAGCAAACATTTGAACAACACTGCATGGTCACTGCGTCCTAAGGGAGGCGAGACATCGATGGCTTCGACCATAATCTCTTCGTTCGTTAGTACCAGATCCAGCATCGACGATGTCTCCAGGTTGCCAAACCTTGTGGGCTCCTTCACGTAATTGTACAACGGATGCGAGTCGATTAACTGTTTAAACTGACTTTGGAACGATAGATGGGAGGTCAAAGTTTGATTGAGATGCGGGCAGTTGAAATCACCCACTATTAGAATATGGCTAAATTTTGCAGATGGGACTTGTGACATAGCTCGCACAAGTGTATCGTTTGCTGACTCCGTGGACGAGGGAGAACGATAGACCACTCCAACAAGACAATCGTCGTGCTTCGACAGTTTCAGTTTACACCAAATTGTGTCACGGGCTGAAACAGGAGGATCAACTGCATCGCACTGGAGATCGCTTCGATGGTAAAGTAGAGCACCACCACCGCGCGTTGGACGATCGCGTCTGAGAAGAGACATGCCCGGTAGGCCCAACTGAGAGTCGAGAACGTCATCCGTCAACCAAGTTTCTGTGACAGCAATGATATCCCACTGACCGGATTGGAAACGCAACACCAGTTCGGAGAGCTTACTGCGGAGGCCTTGGGCATTAGTGTAGCAACAGCTCAAACGTATTTGGTGTAGAAGTCCCTTTGGGTGAGAAGTAGATTCATTGTTGACCCTGTCTGTCACGGTCGGCTAACATTGGTTTTTTGGGGAGGGAGCCCTGGTACTCTTATCCCCCAATTGTGGAGGGGAACATGAAGCCGGAATTAGCAGCGTTATCACACAGTGGAACTTCCGATACTGCAGTCTTCATCAAAGGTCTCAGGTGCAGTTCCGGGGGTCGTTTTTTCTTGTTTAGTTTCCA